GTTCTGCCCTCAGTTCAGTTCAGTTTAGTCGCTCAGTTGTGTCCAACTCTTTGCGACCCCATGGACTGCAGCATGCCAGGCCTCCCTGTCCATCACCAACTCCCGGAGTTTACTCAAACTCGTGTAAACTCCATTGAGTCGGTGATGCCATCCAACCATCTCATCCTCTGTCATCCCCTTCTCCTCCTGCCCTCAATCTTTCCCAGCATCAGGGTCTTTTCAAACGAGCCTGTTCTTCGCATCAGGTGGCCAAAGTATTGGAGTTTCAGCTTCAGTACCAGTCCTTCCAGTGAATGTTCAGGACTGCTTTCCTGTTTAGTTTGCTTTAATTTCAGAGCTTTGACCTTAGCGTTTCTCATATGAGACTCTTTCTGATAGATACTAATTTCCAATTAAGGAAATTAAACTTCTGGCGTTCTCTGCAGGTCTAAGCCCTGGCTCTCCACTCTGCAAGAAGGTAGTTCTTTTGCATGTTGGCACTAGAGCTTACCCCTTGAATTTTGTTAAGGACATTATCAAATGTTTGATTTTCCACTTTTAAGCATCTCATACATCGTGAAAATAAATAAGAACTAGCCACAGAGATCTTATCCACTTTATTGAAGTATCCCATTTTTTAAGTTTTCAGTTAGGTGATTGAAGTTATAAAAACAGGTCTTTTCTTCTTTTGTATAAATGAAAGGCAAAAAAAAAAAGACTAGAGAACATGATAGTTTGATACTTTATAGACTAAGAAAAATGCCATAATTTCTGTCCACATTTTAAACCCAAACAGGATTTTATTGCTTAATTGCTATTCCTTTGTGAATAATTTGGCTCATTTTTATGGTATTGTATTAGCCAATGGATATTGATACCTCCCTCTTCTGTCTTCCTCCATCTCTCCCTTCCTCCTTCCCTTCCCCTTCCGTCTTTCCTTCCTTCCTTCCTTTCTTCTTCCCTTGCTTCCATCCATCTATCTATCCATCCCTTCATCCCTTCCTTCCTTCTTATATTTCCATAAATCAATTCAGTAATACATCAGCCCTAAAAAGGCATAGTTCCCTCTACAGAGTTAGAATGGCAAAAAGCACTTCCATTAACTTATTTCCTGAACTGAGGCAGAATATTATTTGAACTCCAGTTATGCCATTTATTTTCCATGAGAATAATGTGATAAAGTATTTAAATGGAACGGATGGTGTACCAGGAGTCCTGATGGCTCATATCTAACACACAATTGAAATATAAGCCCACTAGTAAGAACTCTAAATAATTAAACAGGTGGTGGTTTTTGGGCTTCATTCAGTGGAAAATTATACTAGCTACCTAGACCAGTAATTCCTGGTTTTTAACCTCCATTGATTTCTTAGTAGATTTAATTTATTTGACCATTAGCTGGCATTTATTTCTAAACAAAAAGAATAGCAGTATATAAATATAGTCTCTAGGAAGACATCTTGATAAACTAAAAAGGCACTAGTTTTAGAAATGAAAAAGTTCAGAGAATTGAAGACTAATCCCTGCTTTTTGTTTGTAGGTACACATTCTGTGTAGATAAAGTATTGTAAATACGGCTTGCCTCCTGGCACGAGCATACGATGGATAATATTTTTGGAAAATAATTTTGAAATGTGTATTAAAGACGTGAAAGTGCACACAAGTGAGAAGTCAACTTCTAGGAACCAGTTCTGAGGAAATCATCCTAAGTATATTTTAAAAACTCTACGTGGCTAAATGTGCTTATAATTGTGAAAAAATGTAGATCTCTGACAAGAAATATGAAGTCACATTAACTATGCTCATATTACAATTATATTAACACAAGCAAGGCAACAAAATGAAAATTCATGGCAATGTAAGTAAAAAAGAAGGTAGAAATCATTTTCTTTGATACAAATTATATAAAGTTCATTAAAAATAGGCAAAAATTTAAACTTTCTATGGAAGAAAATTATGTGTTAATAGTGGTTGTGGCCTAACATTTTCTTTTTTTGAATTAAAAGGGTCATATTACTTTTATAATAAAGATCATGAAAAATGAGCTGCATTCCTCATTCAGAACTAGGCATCTGATAAACCTAGGTCTAATGATTTGTACAAACCATCTTTCATCCCTATAGTAATTTAAGATGATACTGAAAGTAAGAAGTTTTAATAGTGAAAGGGCCAGAACCTTAGAGATCACATATTCTAAATTTCCATTTGATACATAGATGTGACAGCACTGTAGCAAAAAAGGCTAACACTTTAGTCTTTTAATTCTTAGTCTAACATCTTTTAAACCCAAAACATCTTATTGTAGAAACCTTTTTAAATGAAAATGAAGTTAACGTATACTTGATTACATAAGGAATTACCAGTTTACTATATGCACACATGTAGCCTGATACAGGAGAAGGCAATGGCACCCCACTCCAGTGCTCTTGCCTGGAAAATCCCATGGATGGAGGAGCCTGGTGGGCTGCAGTCCATGGGGTCGCTAAGAGTCGGACACGACTGAGCAGCTTCACTTTCACTTTTCACTTTAACGCTTTGGAGAAGGAAATGGCAACCCACTCCAGTGTCCTTGCCTGGAGAATCCCAGGGACAGCGGAGCCTGGTGGGCTGCCGTCTATGGGGTCGCACAGAGTCGGACACGACTGATGTGAGTTAGCAGCAGCAGCAGCAGCAGCCTGATACAATGGGATTCTAGTTTGTAATGTTGTGAGTGTTATTTACTAAAAACAAACATATGCAGTAATATGCTGGGCATATAAGACATCAAATATGTAATTGCCAATATTTATGTACTAATCTTTGAATAGTAGGATATGAGGGATGAGGGAAAACGAAGGATCTATATCTCTAGTTAGGACAGTTTATATGGATGTCACCTTGTTTCCTTAGAATTTTTTTTTGTTGCAGCAATACAGGCATTTATTAATTTGTTCATTCACTTAATAGGTACTTATCAATCACCAGTCGCTGTATTTAGTGCAGGCAAGATAATTATTAGCAAAAACATTAAAATGATTTTTATTTTTATTCTTCCTTCAAAGAGCACTATTGCATTTTATAAATATTAGGCATCCCAAGATAATCATTGTGGATGATGTCTAAGTCATTTTCTCTTGGGGTCTTGGTGAAAAAGCTAAAATTGAAAGAAGGGAGTAAAGTGGATAAAAGACATTGAGTGCTCTGGGTGTCAGTTAAATATAATGGCTGAGGATAGAAAGGTGGACACTATCTATACTATGTAGTTGATGACATATTTCTTTAAAGTGGCCTCTTAAATTTCAACTTAGTGTATCTGCAATATTGCCCTTGTCTTGAAGATTTAATATGTGCCACGTAAGGTTGAGTTGATTATACTTGAAAAACAGTTAATGATAAATTACTCTTAATATATGGAGCCAAGTGTTTGTCCGTATCCAGTGATAATCGTTTCACTTATTGGGAGAAAAGGAGGCTGAAATTCAGACTTAAACCCTAAAGAAGCAGATTTTCTGGGGGAGAAAAGTGTCAGAATATGAAATATTATTTTGTTAATGAAGTGTTCCCTACTGCCACAAATGAGAGGATGTTCCTTAGGGATATTAATAAACTATTTTTGGTTCTCTAATGCTTTAATCAATGTTCGCCTAAGTGAACTAACGCAAAGGTAAAAAATAAAGGCCTAGGAACCTCATGGAGATAATCATAAGACACATACATGCATATGGATAGCTAGATCGATACTAGTTTATTTTACTTGAGATAGTCTCTAGTACCACCTTTTATGATCAGAATTCTTTCAAATTTGTTGATGTTTAGAAATGTATGTACATCCAAGTTTTCCTGTTTGCCATTACTGAAAGTGCTGGCAGTAAGATTAAAGAGTGGAAATAAGAAATGCTAGCTGATGACCTCTGGGAATGTTGCAGAAGAACTGTACAGTCCAGCCACCAGAACTTGCTTGGTCCGTGAGGACTCGGGACCTCCCCGGTGCTTCCCTACTCTGCTTGCAATGCAGCGGGCAAGGGTCCTGTTGGGTCAGGGGTCGGAGATCCCGCGTGCTGCCTGGGATAGCCAAAGAAGAAAGCATGAGGAGAACCTTATGGCAACCCAGTTTGAGACACCCCTGTTTGATATCTGCCTCGGAACTGTCAGCCATTACAAATGCTCCTGCAATCTGGAGGTCAAGGCTTAGACTGATTTAAGATTAAACAGCTGAAATAACTTGAAACCAGACAGAGAAAGTGCGTAATGGAAACTCTGATGAGCCTTTCATTTTGTTGATCTCCTGTGGTGACGCTGGTAATAATTAAGAATTTATTTAAAATAACCTAGGTGAAGGCAAAAGACTTTGTGTATCCATGCCTAACAACTTGGATGAATAGTATCATCTAAGAGGAAAACTTTTGAGAAACCCTTACTATAAGAGTCGAAGCCCATCTGTGTCAGGAATGTCAGGAGGTACCCCTAGGCTTTAGGACCTACATGTATTGTCAGAAAGCCACTTTCTGAGGGCAAGATTGTCTAAACACGATGACCGTAAATGAAATGTGTGTAGGGTAGATTCCAAACCAGAGAAGCAACAGTGTGGATGCTGCATTTTAAAAAATACTGTTATCTTTTGGTATCTCATTTCCAAAGTGACTCAAAATGACAGAAAATAGTTGACTGTTACACCAGACACATTTGTTGTTCAGTCGCTCAGTCGTGTCTGCCTCTTTGTGACCCCATGGACTGTAGGACGCTAGCCTTCCCTGTCCTTCACCGTCTCCCGGAGTTTGCTCAGGTTCATGTTCACTGAGTCAGTGGTGCCATACAGCCTTGTCCTCTGAGATCTCATCCCATCCACCAGATGCATACAAAGTTTCTATTTTCTAATACAGTTTTTCTGGTTCCCGAGTATAATCCCTGTTTGCTTCTTTTCTAATTTTTAAAAATTTTATTTAGTTTTGAAAGTTTTGGAGTCATCCTTCTTTCATTCATTCTTAAATATATCACTACAGCCATTAGAAAAAGTATGTGATCTCTATTCACTGTTATAACTGTTTGCAATGCAGCTTGCAAGTACCATGTTAAAAAAATGAGATATAATTGACCCCAGGGCATTGCAATAGAATGGGGCATAAGGTGATGGTCATATCCCAGGGCTCAGGTGAGTCCCTGGGACATGCCACCAAGTAAGGGTCCTTGGCTTCTTGCTGTAAAGAATTCAGGAGTGAGCTGAAGTAGAATGAAAGGAAGTTTATTTAGAGAGATACACATTCCATATACAGAACATAGTTCAAGTCAGAAAGTGAGAGTGACTTCTTTGTTTTTTTTTCTGCTTTTTTTTAATATTTGTTTTTTTAAGAACCAGAACTCAAAACATCTTTTATTTTAGAAGAAATTATTAACCCTAATCTTGAATGCAATCACATTGCCTAAAATTAGATTGTGTTTAGCTCAAGACCAGAATTAAATCAATTTAAAATAAGCACACACTATTATCTTGATAAATATATTCTTTAAAATAATAAATTAGTGATAATTCTTAAAATAAAATTTAACTCTACCAATATTTCCCTTAACTGCACCATTTTTATAGTATTAAGAGTAATTTATTTTATATATTGGCTTGCCAAGTTTCCTTCCATGCTTTTTCCCTCTTAACCTTTGTAACATCCCCATGAGGATATTGAGGATAGGTATCATTACTCTAATTTTACCGACAAAACCAAGGTTCCTCAGAAAATAATAATTTCATTTTTTCCTTAGGACATAAGTTCCAGGTTATTCTCAGTTTGCAACATTGCCTTATCATCAGATGCTTTTACAGATCATCAGATTTGTAAGCTATTTGCAAAACTGAATTTCTATGTGAATCTGTGTATCATGGTTATTTTTTAAGATGTATTATAAATTCTTTAGCTTATGTAGATTGCTTAAGTAATTGCTATTATAATAGTGGACTGAACTGAGGCAAATAGGTTACAGATAACATTCCTTTACAAAAATGTCACTACAGAGAAGAATTCTGTACAAATAGATATTTCCTTGCCTGGGCAGACAGCCCATGGAAAATGTTTGTCTGATCTAGTTGCAATGAATTCTCTGTGAAGAAAAACAAGTGCTTTCTCTGAATTCTAAAAGTCAGTATATCATATGCAGCAACACTTCTGTTTGCGACTTTCAACATTGGTGGGAAAAAACTGACTTAAAGGATTTTTTTTTTAGGTATATAAGTGATCATTACTTCTTTCTATCTCAAAGACACTACCAAACAGAATCTATTTTTACACCAAAATTACCAAAACAAAGTTACAAACATAAAGATTCTGAACATAGGATGGAGAAAGGAAAATTCTATATTTAATCAGCTTATTTATTTAATAGGTTCTAAATGCCTTAGAGACTGGGCATTGGCTTACTTGTAGGTGCTAAAACCAGCCTGAACATCTGGAAGTTCAGGGGAGTACAAATAATCTTAAAACTGGAATCCAGGATAATGTTTTGGTCCATCAAAAAAACAAAATACAACCCAGCACATTTGAAGATTTAATTGGCTTTGATAGGTGATTCATGAATCGGAAAGCATCCATCTAGCAACTAGAAGGGAGCTCTGATGAGTGATAGAAAGAATAAAGGATTTTATAGAAAGGAGAGTGGATCCAGAAAGTCATTAGCAAAGGAAAGAGAGGAATATTTTGAGCCAGGAGCAAGGATCTTACCTTGTAGATTACCTCCTCTTCCTGTGGGGGTAGGAGCAGGTTTCAAGTGACATATAAAATTTGCTTTTTGCAGACTATGATTTCTATAACCAAGATGAAAGCATGTTGCATTTGCCTTCATCTTTAAGACCGTTGAACCATGTGTCTTGGGTCAACTTCTTGT